CATTTTTTTTCTGGATAAGGCAGCGGTGGGGTAGGCTAATCTATCACGAAGACTCACGGAGGGTAAAAGCGATAAATTCGAGGGGCCGAGCAGAGAAATGCACACGAGACTTTATGTCAGTTTGAAAATGCCATCAAAATACAAGTTCGTATGCCAGCTGAAATAATATCCCAAATTTCCCCCGCCCTCTAAACAGCCACTGACTAAATCAAAAATTTCGAGTGATCAAGATTACCTCCCAATGGAGAAGAATCACGCCTAAAATTAACACTGTAAACCACAGGGTGGATCAGAAATTTGAATATTCATATGTAGCGCTGCAAGCAACGCAGTAAATAAGAAAGAGCATCGGACAAAACAGTCGAATAAATATAAACATACGTCCAATGTTGCAGTAACGTAGAGCGCGTACCATGGAACTGTTGGCATGAATAGCTGTTCCTAATGCTCGAAATGAATTTACATTTGCATGCCGATTTGAAGCATAAGCACAAAATCGCATCGCAATAACTTTAAAACTTTGCAAAATGAAACGGTAATAACCTCAGCAATAATTAGGAGGTTTATACTAATCGGAAATGTTGTGACTACTGCTGAGGTTTCTTCAGGCACTGCATTTGGAATAGACAAGTTCACTCCATTTCAATTTTGCCATCAACCATGAATGTTCTCAAAGGAGCATTCGACGACTGATTAGAGGAACCTCGATACAACGAAAGCTATTTCACTAAACAGTCCTTTATTTCTCTTATTCGAGACAGACACAAGATTGCGGCGGTATGCTAGAGACGAATATCATTCAACAGACATGGCCCGATGCCGTGCCATCGCCTTGTCTACCGGCACGTCTGTGTTGATCGATAGAGCTGAAGACGCCGCTAGACAGAATCGAAGCAAAAACAAGGTATGAGCGAGAACTGAACCAGCCGAAAGCTGAGGGCGAGGGAGAATCGCTGCATCTCCATTCATCTTCAGCAAAACATGCCAAAGACGGTCGCCAGAACTGGCAATCGCCAAAGCAATCCGACTGCTACGGGACTAAAGAGTGACACGTCGAATGCGACGCGAGTAATGGCCACTCTCAGAAGCATCAAATCGAGGAGAAATGATCCCTTCTTCGTGGCATTTGTTCATCCGCCGCTGAAGGCAAAGAAAACCCATACGCAATAAAGACAGGCGTAACCAGTGCAATAATTCCGGTCAGAAAAAAAACATTCATCAAAGGTGAAAGACACTTTGTAGTCGGCGGCAACGAAAACATTGGAATACTAAAAAAATTATTTGGCTGCCTAAAGAAAACGAGTTCGATTTCTGGAAGCAATGCAGTTTATCAGTAACTGCTTAATTTCTTGGGCAGAAAATGCTGTAATGTAACCCGGCAATGCTCCCCTACAAGTGGGGCCAATCCGCGAACAGTAGGGTAGGTGGTTAACAGGCTCCATAGCTGAAGAGACTTACGTCATGATGTTCAAATCAGAACAGGAAGTAACAGTT